TTATTATGCAAGCATATGTTAATGCACTTTATTTAAGGACTTCATCATTTTCTTCATCAACTTCAGTAAATAATGATTATTTAATACCAACATTAGTAACAATGCCAGAAGATAATATTACTTTTTCCAAAGAAAATTTTACCAAGAGTTCATTTTATTTATCATGGAAAAATTTAATAAAAAAAGTTGAAGCAGCAGAAAAAGGAAAACAGCAACAAAATAATAATATATTAAATAATAATAATAATAATAATAATAATAATAATAGTAATAATAATAATAATAAATTATTAAATAATAATGATAATAATAATAATAATAATAATATACTAAATAATAATATATTACATCAAGATCATTATGATTTAATTGTTAGATTTAATATTTTTGCTAATCAAATTAATTCTCAAGAATTTCCTCTTGAAAATTGTTTGGAAATGATAAAATCCATGAGAGGTAAAGGAATGGACCCTAGTTTTGAAACTTATAATATTTTATTAAAAGGATATTCTATATCTCCAGAATTTCAAGGAAATAATGAGGAAAGAGTGAAAAAAGCTTTAGGAATTTTTGATATGATTAAATCTGTAGGTTATGATGTTGATGATTTAGAAGTATTTCAACCATTACTAGATTCATGTTTACAATCATCTAATAGGGAGAACATTAACAAAAATATTAGTAATAATTTTGAAATAACTGGAATTGAAAAAAACAAGAAAAATGAAATAAAAGTAAATGAACAAGTTGAAAATGTATCATTTCTTCATAAATATTCATTACCCAAAATATTTGAAATAGAAAAATTAATGAATAATTTTAAAGTTACTCACAATCAAAAATCCATTATAACAATATTGGAATATTTAGGAGGAACTGGAAATTACATTGGTTTATGGAGAAGATGGACAGAATTGTCATTAATGGGATATAGAAGAAGTGAGCTTTTATATGAAACAGTTTTAAGATTAGCTTCCAGGGATTTAACTGAATCCGAATATGCTATTAATGTAATTAGACATCAAATGAGAAGAGAGTTACCACCAATTAAACCAAATTTTGAAATTTATTCTCAATTATTTAAATGTTGTTTAAAGGTTAAAGATATTTTAACTATTAAAGATTTAATAGAAGAAATTAATAATAATCACTTTGATCGATTTAAATTTAATAAATCTTCATCACAAGAAGGAAAAAATTTACAAGAGATTGAAAAAAGTATCAAAGATGAGAAAGAACAAGAAGTACATCAAACAAAATTATTAAATTTAATATTAAATACATGTTTCAAATTACCTATTTTATATTCGGATGGTGAAAAATTAATAAATAATATTTATCAAAATAGACCAAATTTAATTAATTATGAATTTTGGAAATCATTGTTAACTCATTATACTGATAACACTTTTTTGGATGATTTTAGACTTCAAAATATGTTTGAAAATTTTGTTGATTGGAGAAATAATAAAATATTACCAAATATGTTATTGGAAAATAATAATGAGAAGAGTAATAATAGAGGGATAAGTAGTGAAAAGAGTGAAACTATTAACACTTTGGATGATTATTACATTACTAGTTCACCACTAACAAAGAAAGAAAAGAGAGAACAAATTAATTCAAATATTAAAATTCGAGATTCTAATTTTAGTTTTTCGAATGTTGATGA